AGACGCAACGCAACGCATCGACTCATCTGCCTTCGATGTCACACGGTGAAGTGTTTCAAACCTTGTGTAGTGCAGTGGGGGACTACGCTAAGCGTCAGACCTTGTCTTTCGAGAACGTGTGTCGTGCTCGTACTTAAGGCAGTTCTTCGCTGTTGCCATGTAACACGCCAAGCTTCTTTATCGTTTTTTTCTTTTTTTCGTGGCATTAAAGCCTTATAACTCAAGTTGCAAATGTCTTCGTCAGTCTCGACAACGATTATTTAAGTTGCCGTGATTGCCCGAACCTTATCCCTCACAGTCGGAAGCCAATCATGTGGTGCGGGATGCAGTCGTTATCTTCGAGGTATTGACCAACCCTGTTGAGGACGACGTGCTCAGCCACTTTGCCCACGCACGACGTGAGAGATATGGGGCGTAGGTTATCTAGGCTCGGCGCCTTTCCCGGTTTGGGTATGAGAACCGTGTGAGCTAGTTTCCAAGCATCGGGTATCTCACCCTTTTTCCATATCTCGTTGATAGTGTCAGTGAGGTAAGTGACGGAGGAATCGTCCAGGTTGCGTAGGAGCTTGTTGGTGATGCCATCGGGGCCAGGGGCTGAGCGGCCATTGAGCTCATGGAGAGCTCGGCGCACATCTTCAATAGAGAAGTCGGCGTCTAAGTTAGTGTTGTCGCTGCCAGAGTAATCAGGGTGAGGGGTCACAGGGCCCGTGGGAAGCGGGAGATATTTTTCCAAGGGGTTTTTTACAACATCTTCCGGTGACACTGTCCGTTTAGCCTGATGAAGTATCTTCACGATCGAATGACGCTGATTTGTGCGGGTGTTGGTTTCATTGAGGAGGTGTTTGAGTAAGTTCCACGTTTTGCCATTTCGAACCTGACCATCAATCGAATTACAAATTTCGTCCCACTGCTGTTTTGAAAGGATGCGGCAGTGATCCATCATGGTCTTGTTCAGCTGAGATATGCGTTTGCGTAACCTCCGATTAAGGCGCTGGCCCTTCCACCGGGCCAATAGAGACTGTTTGGCCTCTAGTAGGTGGGCGAGACGACTGTCCATCTTTTCGGTTGGAAGGTCTGTGCTGATAGTTTTCGTTGCCTTGTTTACATCAGCTTTGAGCTGGGCCGTCCACGTCTCGAGGCTCGGTGGGGTATTAGGAGCGGGTCGTTCTGCGCGGGTTTTACGAAGGAGGTCCCAGTCAACCCATGTGTACGACTTGGTCTTCCTGCTTACTGTGGGGAGGTGTACAGCCAATATGAAGTGGTCGCTACCAAGATCTACCGCGAGGTTGGACCAGCAGGCGTCGGAGATATTCTTGACGAAGCATAGATCCGGTGTAGTATCTCTTTGCGTGGATGTACCATGAAGGCCTTGTCCGTAATGAGAATAAGGCCCATGTCATTCACATTTTTCCAAAGCTCGTTACCTTTGGGTGTGTCGTACGTGTAGCCCCAGGCGCTATGCGCAGCGTTAAAATCGCCTGCAATCACTAGCGGGTTAGGCCCCGCGAGACGGACAGCTTTCTGGAACAAGCGTGTGAATCTTTGTCTATGGTGGCTGGGACTACTGTATACATTGAGCATGTATACGCTTTGTTGTGATATGTTGCCAGGGAGAATTTCGACCATAACGTGCTCAATTTCGGGCACATTGAGGCTGTGCGCTGTGCAGGTAATCTTGTTAGCGACCAGGTTGGCGATACCACGTCTTCCCGAGGGGCCGGGCAACCACTGGTATCCGGAAAACGTGGCGGTTGGTACGACAGTCTCTTGTAATAGCATGATGTGAGGTTTGGCTTCGTGGCTACGGAGGTATTGCTGCAGGAAAGCTTTCTTGTGGGTGAAGCTCCTGCAGTTCCATTGCCAGATTCGCAACTCGTCAATTGGCCTGGTCATCTTGAAGCATTTCGGAGTTGGCCTCAGCACCCGGCGGGTGCATAAGGGCCGCGTGATGTGGTGGACTGGGCACGACTGTACGTTGCGACAACGGCTTATCCGCGGCAACGGCAGGGGCGACGACGTGATCAAGATATTGCTCCACTTGGCCCAAACGATTACCGTGTACCGCAAGAGTAGACTGCACGAGAGCCATGCTTTCGCCAAGAAAGCGAAGGCTTTCCTTAATCGCTGATAGCGTGCTCTTAATGTCGTCTAACTCTGCCTTTGTAGCTGGCTGGTCGTGGGCGACCGCGCGTTTCTTGGGTGCGCTCTCGCCGTCGTCGTTACCGGCGCCTACGGGCTGCGGCTGCAACGGAGTGACTGCATTGTCGTCGTTGTCGGTTGTGGGCATAGCAGCGCGTGCGTTTCTGTCAGTTTTTAGTTCGGCAATTGCGACTGTGAGTTTACGTATTGTTTCTTTCATCATCGCATTTTCGTGCTTTAAGATCGCTATCTCAGATGTGTTGTGTGTATCATGCTCTGGGAGTGAACCCGACCCTACCTGTGATGTAGTGTTTCCTTTTCTCCGGACGGCGTCCGCTCAAGTGAGAGGTCCCCGCTTATTCTTGTTGGCGTTGCCTGGCGATGGTGGTGCCGATGGGCTAGGCGATCGTTGACGCGAGACCCCGGTGAGACTGGGGTGAGGCCTGGAACCAGCATGAGGCCCGGAACCAGGGTGGGAGCCGGAGCGTGACCCGGGCCGGGAACCTGAACGGGAACCGTGACGTGAACCAGAACGAGACCTGGAGTAGCCTCGCGATATAGATCTGGTTGGGGTCCCACTTCTGGTTGGAGTCCCACTAAGTTTCTGCAAGTAAATTAATTAAACGTTATTCAGCAGAGGTAACGTCCGTTACTTTTTTTTCGGTAACGGCAACGCGTTTATTTTGTGTTGCAGGGGCGAGTAACGTATTTAGTTATTTTTTTTCGGTGGCGGATACAACACTGGTCTTAACAGAATGCGAGTACCGTGCGCGCATTTTCAAGAGAGCCTTGTTTCGACTCAGAGAATCAGCAATGATATAGTACGGGAAACACCCGGCATTGACGAGCGTAACGAAACTCGACCCTGGAAGGTGCACAAGTGCCAATCGTCTGTTTGTCGATGATCCGTTGTCTCGGATATGGCAATCTGGTATTTTTGTGGAAGTCGCTTGTCATTTCACGTCACCAAATTTTATTGCTGCCTTGAAATGAAGAAAGAATTAGCGTCATTGTTTCCTGCAACTGGAGGGATTCTTTGCTAAGCACTTGAATGAGGGCTCAAGTCCTGGCATTAATAAAGAAAAAAATCACACGGGAGAATGGGTTAATTCGATGGAAAGAAAGAGAAAAATAAAAACCTAGTACGCAATGCACGTACGCGCCAAATTGCGCTGCCCCCCCCCCCCCCCCCCAAATGAAGAAGGACTCCTCGTTGTTTCTTTCTTTTTAAACGCCATAGTGTGAAAGGTCTCGTTTCGCGAAAATTCCAGCGTAGGCTTCGTTGGTTGTAGGCGAAAAATCGGTGTTGTCTGTGATAGAAAATTCGACGTAAACGCCTCTCAATAAATAAATTAATAATCGAAGTTTTCGGCTTCAGTAGGAAACTAACCCAAGCCTCCCGCGTGGCTAGAAGTTGTTCTAACACAGTCACGACAGGGTTTTAAGGTGTTAAAAACACGAGGAAAAAAACAACAACGACCACATCGATGTCGCCTGGGGACTTGCAGAAATATGTAGCGCTGGGAGTTTTCTTGAAGCATATAATAAGTTATGACAGATGCGTCGTAACATGCGAACCGTGCAACAAATGAGTGGTTTAAATGCCCACTTGTTACAAATTTCTTCGGTATAAATAATCCTCGTTAACAGTGTGAATAAATGTGTGCAGCCCCGCCGGTCGCGAGATCGAATCCCGGCTGCGGCAGCTGCATTTCCGATGGAGGCGGAAATGTTGTAGGCCAGTGTGCTCAGATTTTGGCGCACGTTAAAGAACCACAGGTGGCCGAAATTTCCGGAGCCATCCATCACGGCGTCTCTCATAATGAAATGGTGGTTTTGGGACGGTAAACCTCAGAAGTCAATCAATCAATCAGATGTGTGCAGCGGCGTACAGGCACGCGTGTAGCCTTACACGGGCGCCTAGTGGGTACTTGATCAATTCGCAAAAGGAATATTCATGGCATAGTGGTCACTGCATAGTTGTTACTGACGTAGTCGTTACTGCACTGGCAGCAGGTATTGCAGGATAGCTTCAAACGGCCAATGTTACCGAGTACAGGCGTTTCTTTTCTTGTGGCATCATTGAGGCGTCCACCCAGAAGCGAAGACATGCTTGCGATTCACAAGGCGCTGCGAACAGCGCCCTATTGTGTTGTCGCGTTCTCTACTAACGGCAGCGAAGCTCAAGCATCCTCGAAGTTGTTTTACTTCAGTAAGAATACTTGTAGGGTGCGTACAAACGTACTACACTCGCAAGGTCTTGTTACGCCATGCATGTGTCTAAGGGGAGTGCACTATAGGGACATGTCAGAAGTTCCATGTCGAATAGAGCGTGCGCTAGCGAGGCAGCTGTGACGCAATAGCTTCCTGTTATCGCTAATTAAGAATTGCGCGTTCTGTGGTTAAAGATAGGTTCGTTGCTCGCCCTGCGTATTTCGACTGTGCGTGTGCGCACATCTAAAGACATGCGGCCGCGATAGTATGCGATGATACGGTGGCATGATTGACGTACCAACAGTATACGTCAGCGCATTCATCCACTTTTTAGAGTCCCGTACATCAATATGGTCGTTCGTATTTGGCCAGCTATGGGCTACAAATCACAGACATGTGCGCTAACCTAATAGGCCTGCCAAGGTAGCGTGGCTGCATGAAATGTGACAGATCTCGTTTTGCTCAACTGAAGCGATCGAAAAAAAAACCCCGATGGCTCAAAACAAGCAGCATTTGTTGTTTTCGTGTTGGAAAACTGTTGATGCTTTTCGTAGGGTTCATGTTCATCTTTGATTGGTTCATATGGTAGCCTGACACGGGTGTATATAAGCATCGCCCCCACTCCATGGCATGTCTGTCATTGTTTCCAAGTTCGTAGCGATGGCTGTCCAGCTCGTTTCTGCGCTCCTTCTGATCCTCAGTGCCACGGCTGCTCATGGAATCGAGTCGACGGTACGTATGCATTAGTGAGCTTTCAGAATTGTTCGCGGGGCAGCTAATTGCCAGTGGGCGCGAAAACTTCATTCGTTCAATAACGCTTGCGTCCTCACTTGCTGCAGTAATGCCAGTTGGTGCCGCAAGTGCAGTAAAGTAGATGGCGCAAGTAATCAATTTTTTTCCACTACCTGTTTTCGGTTTTCGAGAAGGTTCCGGACTGTAGTAGATCTGCAGTTTCGAGAAGGTTCCGGACTGTAGTAGATCATTTCGATAAGATCACGCCCACTGTGCGAACGGTACAGATTGTTCTGGAACCTACGCCACCGCCAGTGATAACGCTAGAACATTCGACGGCAAGAGTATAAATGCCGACGCACTTCGCCGCTTGTCAGCTGTTGATCGAAGGCCGACGCTCTTTTCGCCGCTATCAGCCCGAGACTGCTATCTGTGCGAGACTGTTGCTGTAATTGGACTTTCCGTTTACTGGGCACAGGTTCGTCCAAATAAACAGTTAAATCCCAACACGAAGTCTCCTGTCTTCGGCCACGTCACGACCCCGTGACAATACTCGTCACAGTGACACTCCTGTAGTTGAGCGCGTGATAAGAGGGTTTAGCCCCGCTGCATATCGCCATCTGGTCACGACGGCTTGGGGGCACTTCCATGCATACGGCGTCTCCATCAGCCCTATAGCATTGCATCGGAATTGTTATATGCGGCTATATCGTATCAGTAAACCATGGGGTAAACATCACATGTCGTGCAGCTTCCTTTCAAGAGGTCACTGGTAAGACATGTGTTAAAAAAAAAACTTGTGCGCTTTTGCAGGAAATGCACCGTTGTATAGGTTCGAGATTTTCATGTTAATGAACTTTATCAGAGTAAGTTATAGGGATGTACCTCTGCTTCTTGAAAAACGGAGCCATGTGTCCAGGAAGAAGCTACGAGGAAAAACTGCAGGCTCATTGTCGCAGTGTGATAATGGCTTGCGCATGAATCACGACGTGCTTGTATTCAATGGACGTTTTATTTCTAAAGCGTCCACAGAGTATTTTGAAACAGTCGTAGTGCGTGGCGTTGCCTTTATCTAGCACTGTTCGCCACGCTTACACAAGTCGAGACATTTAGTTGCAACAACGGGATAGTCGCCATGATATCATTTGCCCACGGGTAGCTACTCTGCGCGCTTTGACCGATTGCGAAAAAGCTCGCACACGCATACGCACATAAAATTAGCGAAAAAATGACGTTAGAATGCTTTTTGATAGGGAGTATTAAGTATGCTATTTAATACGTTGCCTCTTGTTTCACCGATGAACGAAGCTTTCTGTCCTCGAATTCGTTCTCAAAACATACTCTGCTGTGGCTATAGAGCTCTGTTGCTGGGGCAACTTGCCATCGTGGTCGAAGGTTGGGTGGCATTACGAGATGACCACACTGCTTAACGCGAGAACGCTGGCGTATATAGATTTAGAGACAGTTCTTACAAGCTCCAGGGCCTTCTCTTCGTAGCTATGTTTTCAACTCGATGCTGTGCCACTCCGATCGTCCGCCATTCATCTTATTCATAACTTGAGTAAAATGTGGCCAATTCCAGATCGAGCGCGAAACAGCATATCCCTGAATCAGGTATTGATATGTAATCATGAATGATTGATATGTGGTGTTTCACGTCTCAAAACCATATATGATTATAAGAGACGCCGCAGAGGAGGGCTCCTGGGGATTTAGACCACCTGGGGTTCTTTGACGTGCATCCGAATCTGAGCACACGGGCATACAGATTTCACCTCCATAGAAAGTGCAGCCGCCGCTGCCGGGGTTCAAACCACAAGCAGCCGAGTACCTTCCTCTAGACCTCCGCGGTGGGGCATTGGTATATAATCGTGGCCCGGGAGTTAGCCGAAGTAACCCGGAGCTTTCCTTGTCAGCGTGCGCCTAACTGAGCCCATATGCGTTGCTTTTGGTAAGCTCCTCTCAATGCGTTCGTCCTCTTGGCCTTATACAAATCGTTTTTTTCCTCTCCCACATAGGTGGATACTTTACCTTTTATTTACCTTTCGAAGATAGAGACTTCGCGGCAATGAAATGTTTCCGCTCACTGATGCATTGTCCATTCGTCACTCATTATCACTGTGGTCTCATCAGATTGAGCCTCAAGTTTTCTTGGAGCATCCGAAAGAACAGTGGAAAACTTTCGCCTGCGACGACAATTTGAATCATAAAGACATACGCCACAGCGAAAAGTTTACGTTCACAACATATTTTACAGTGAACTCCAAGGCAATGCGAAATAGTTGGAAAGGACAGAGCTGATAGAATGGCGCGTCCGACGCATTCATAGAATGACTAGTTACTTCCTACTACAACTTCTGGCGGCAAATGATGTGGGATGTTTATTGATGAATCTATGCGCTTGATTTTTCAACAAAACTTGTTTCGTTTAAATGGTTTGCAGAGCTCTCAATAGCACCGTAATAATCATTAAATATATATATATATATATATATATATATATATATAGTGGGAGTAATAATTCAATGGGCCAGTTAGTCTTCGTGAAGGTATGAGATATGGCACAACGGGAGCGTTGTCAACAAGGATAAATATATTTCCCAACAGTTTCGGGAGAGCAGGGAGGACCCCTCCCGAAACTGTTGGGAAATAAATATATTTATCCTTGTTGACAACGCTCCCGTTGTGCCATATCCTATGTATATATGTATATATATATATATATATATATATAGTCTAGTAGATCCTCCGTGAGCGGTCACAACGTGGTTTATTTCGACGTTTCGGCCTAGAGTCTGGCCTTCATCAGGAATAAAGATACAGTATGTCGGTGCTCAGCTTTATACAATCTCAAATCAGAGGGCAAGGAAAGAGGAAAAAAAGCAAAGAAAAAAAGAAAAGAAAAGGAAAGAAAAAAAAAAAGAAAAAAGAGAAAAATAATCCACCGTATATTATTTTTCTCTCTTTTTTCTCTCTTTTTTCTCTTTTTTCTTTTTTCTTTTTTCTTTTCTCTCTTTTTTCTTTTTCCTCTTTTTTCTTTTTTTTCTTTTTTTTCTTTCCTTTTCTTTCTTTTTTTCTTTGCTTTTTTTTCCTCTTTCCTTGCCCTCTGATTTGAGATTGTATAAAGCTGAGCACCGACATACTGTATCTTTATTCCTGATGAAGGCCAGACTCTAGGCCGAAACGTCGAAATAAACCACGTTGTGACCGCTCACGGAGGATCTACTAGACTATATGCAACGCTACGGCCACTCAACCACCATGCCCTGCCTATATATATATATATATATATAATATATATATATAGATATATATATATATAATATATATATATATAGATATATATATATATATATTATATATATAGGACAAGAAGTGTATACCTAAGGCTCATTTTTCCGTGTTTTGACACAATATTAGTAAGATCTAACAGATAATAATGCAAAGAAATGTATAGGGGAAGTTATTAAAACCAATGTAATGTAATAAGAAGAAAGAAAAGTGGGTGAAAAAATAACTTGCCATGAGCAGGTCACTGCCGTGAGTTGGTCAGCTGCCCGCTCATAATAAGTTCACGTGCTACGTGACGCCACATAGGCTCATAAAAAGATGTTCCACACTCGCCGCTATGGCTACAGATGGCGCTCACTGACTCTCCCACGTTTAAATTCACATATAAAACTAATAAAGTGGCTGGGGAGATAGCCGCCATGATAGCTCAGTGGTTAGAGCATCGAACGCGTTATTCGAAGGTAGTAGGTTTGTTTTCTGCTCACGGCAAGTTATTTTTTCACCCACTTTTCTTTCTTCTTATTTACATTACATTGGTTATAATAACTTCCCTATAGATTCCTTGGCATCATTGTCTGTTAGATCTTACTAATATATATATATATATATATACATATATATATATATATATATATATATTATATATATATATAGATATATATATATATATATATATATATATATATATATATATATATATAGATATATATAGTATATATATATGTGGGCGGGAAAGATTAAGTAAATATTATTTAGTACAAAAAATACAATTCAAGTCATACACATATAAGCACAATATTCATTAGAAACGTAAGTTACAATACGTGAAGGCGTGAAGGTGACTTACAAAAGACAAGTATTTACTAATTAGAAATGTCTGCTGATTGGTGAAAACGATAATTCGTGGAAATACTGCAAATCTGACAAAAGGTGGTAAGGTTATGAAAGGAAACGTTTAACCTTTCATATCTAAGATATCCGCATTTATTTTATCATAGCTTTGAGTTTCAAACAGGTGGGCAGTAATTTTTTTTATATTCTCAAATTTCGGCTGTGCAGCACCTTTTATTCTGTACGGTGTTTGGGATAAACTTATAGTTCATGTGAAATGACATGGTGGTGTGATGAGGCTGAAGAAAACCAAGTGTACATTCTTCTACACTTGGCTCTACTTAAGAAACTCATGCAAAAAGGACGAAGTTTCGATAGATGTTCACTATCATCATACTTTCTTTTTTCGATCAAGGGTGAACAGAAAACATTTCAGAAAGATTACTCCGCGTACTAATTCATAAAAGAATACTGCGGGCCTTAGTAATAATTAAGTGTACTGCTGAAGACATGTTCCTTGTATTTTCTTATTTATATAGTATTTGTTTCCTCGAGTATCACTTCTGGTAAATCAAAAACAGTTTGCAAGTGTTCTGTATTTAGTTCGGGAATGTTTAGGTGTTTTACATGTAGATATTTTAGCGTAGCGAATATTTCGCGCTGTGCGATTAACTCACCTGCCTCGTGAAAACTTAATTTGCATACGGAAACTGAGTGTCTGAATGTTCCTCTATGTATACATTTGTCAAATTTTGTATTGACAACATTACATCGACAACTATTACTTAAGAGTAGCCGGTGATGCAGATGGGCCCCACTTTTTGTTAAATGCATTTACGATAAAAAAATGTGGCTGATCCCACTACCCCGGCATCGGT